GTTATGAGGGGCTGGAAGCTGTGCATGGCCAGGCTGGTTCTGGGCTGTGAGCTGAGGAAGTTGTGGGGTAACCCCAGTTCTCAGTGCTCTCCCCCTGCCCTGCCTGGGCTTCTCATCCCCAGGGGAGAAAACCAAGATTAACCACACACAAACTATCACCAGCAGCCATTGCCCATGGTCTTTATTATTTAATTTTTTTCCAGAAAAGAAAAAAAAAAATCACATTTTACGTAGTTGGTATAAAAAACAAAACCAACATGAACGGAAGGGGAAAAACCTGCAGCAACACAACTGAGGATCTCACTGCAAGGACTCCCAGCAGGAAATCTCTTTGGAAAGTGTGTTACTCAGGGGGTTACCCTGAGCCACCTCGATTATCCCCTTCCTCCCACCCACTTCATAAAAATTCACGAGTTTGACACGACCTTTGGTTGCTAGCAGTAAACATGGATTACATTCTTCCGTCTCCTCGTTTGGGACTCAAGGCTTTCCCCCCAGGGCACACACCCTCTCCTGAGGGTTGCCTTTATTTCATTTCCCATACATTCAAACACTCCTGTGTCACAGCAGGACCCTGAGCATGCAGCCCCCTCTGCCCACATCTCTCCCCCCATGCATAGTGCCCAGCGCCGTGGGCAGGGTGGGTGGTGATGCAGCAAATTAGTTAATTATTGTCAAAGTATGGGAAGAACCACACTGGCAAACACAAGGAGAAGATAGGAATCAATCCCATCTTCTCCAGTGTGACTTCCCTTTGCAGAGAGAAAGCCTTGTTTTCTTGGATTCCAGCACCACACTGGCCCCCAGGGGAAACCTGAGTGATTCCCTGTTTGCTTTAGCCCAGGACAGGGATGATTACAGAGCTCATTCCTGGCAGCTCTGTGTGGGAGAGCACACAGAGCAGATCCTGTCTCCCTGGTCCATAACCTATTAGATGCTTTGGCTATTTATTTTTTTTCTTCTTTTTCCTCTTATTTTTTTTTTTTGTAAACAATAATCAAGGAGAATACTGAGAGCAAGTGGAAAGATTTACAGAGGTATTTACACACACACTAGATATCTAGCAGAAAAATCACCAAACCATTACAGTGGGGGAAGGGGGGGGAAGGTCCTACATGATTCTCAAGGACAGAATTAGGGGGGCAGCAGTTTCCCTGGCACACCAGAGGTGCTGGGGGGAGGCCAAGACCCCCCAAAACACAGCAGCAGGGCCAAGGCCCAGGCATAGACTCAGCCCAGTGCACTCTATTGCATTTACCCCATCAAAGCTGTTTTCCTGAAGTAGTTTTGTATAGACCCCATTGCTAGTCAAGAACTAAAAGTCCTTCCCCACCCCACCCCAAGAAGAGACCACCACCTCACCATAAACTACTGGAGCAGGGCAGCAAACAGCTAGGCAGCCACTTTCCATCCTCCTCAATGCCCATGTGCTGGGGGTCACTGGGCTCCAGTGGCCTCAGCAAGTCCCTCCAGTGACCCTCCTTGTTGAGGATGGAGCTGGTGCTCCCCATCTGATCCAGCCCTGCTCGACATCTAAACCTATTGCTACTAAAAACCAGCAGAAACTGTGCCCACAGCCTGATGCCAGCATGGTGAGACACCCTCCCTGGGAAGGCTCCAGCCACCCCCTGGGCTGCAAAGTGGAGTGTTAATGCCCCAAAAACTTGGGATCCAGAGTTTCTCCCAGCCATGGTGAGTCAGCATTTGAGAGAAGCTGGGAAGGGAGAAAAAGATAGAGCAGTTGCACCTCCCTCAGACTTGGAACCAGGTCCCTCATCCCAGGAGGTTACAGGTAATCAGCCCTGAGCTTGAGGGTGAGGTAGGGCAGGAGATTGAGGATAACCCTCAGTCTCCCAACACCTCCCTGGTCACTGTCCCCCTGAATGGGGCTGGGACCCCCATCCTGCCTTTCTGCCCCCCATCCACATGGCACCAGCCTGTTGGGAGCCTCTGTGACATTCCAGCCCATGGACAACAGGAGGACTTGGGCATGGGACAGACTGGATTGTTCCCATCAGGATGGTGGGGAGGGGATGTGTGAACATAAACAGCAGAGAGAACCAGAGGACAGCCCTCAAAAACCACCAGGCTGGGAGAAACTCTGAAACTGGGGAGCCAACATGGGCTCTAGCAGCTGTTCCCTGCCCCATGGCACTGCCTGGCTTCTCCATCCCCACACATGGATTACAGACCCAGATTCCTCCATCAGT